TACGATGATATTGAATGCTGAAAGCTGGTGAAACACCATAAACCAATCAGCAGTAACCAAATGTCATCACTTAAATTAAGCCTATTAAATACACAGTTTATGTTTAAGCTACAAAAGTAGGTAAGTAATTTCTGGCGTACAAGTCTGATGGAAAACCTACCTTTTATAATTGTAACGTATACTTTTAAACTTTTCTACCCAAAATTACTTCTCCACCAACATAAAATGATAAACCAGTTTCAATAAAAATCATGTATTTTTTAAAAAGACCTATAAGTTTAATTTTGAAAACTAAAAAGTTTTATTTAAAAACAACGATTATTTTATACACAATTCAATATAATGAGATTGTTTCCAGTCTCCAAATTATTAAAATAAAATATTAAAATAATAACTTACTGTACAAGGTTAAAAAGTGGTAAAATTCCCGACGTGACTGGAAAACAATCTCATACACTCTACATGTTTCGACGTATATCTTGCGTCATCCTCAGGAGTGTAATGTTTTGCAAAATAACACTTAGAAAATTCAGTTTATGATAAACCAACATTTTCATCAATGCCGATTAGTATTAGATAGAATAGAAATAGCAACCTTGAATCATGTTACATTTGGGCTATAAGTTTATTATTTGGCTATTTCTATTTAAATATTTTAAGAAGTATTCATTCAGTTGCGTTATTTAAAGTCTCTCACGGGACTGCGATAAGTTTACGAACTTACAATGCTAAAATATGGGGTTCGATTCCTCGCGGTGGACACAACAGATAGCCAATGTGGCTTTGCTCTAAAAACAAAGAAACAAGCCTTATTTAAGAATAATAACTATATCTTCTATAACTGAATAATTCAATTGCAAGTGAACACTCTTTTGCTCATATTTTCTTAAATCAGTACAACATTAGGTGTCGTGAGAATATTTTTACTCAATAAAGCGATATTCAAGCAATAATGATTAGTTGTTTATCTTTTAAGCGCTACATTACATCATCGGCTGTCTATGTTGCTGTGTCCACAGTGGGGAATCGAGCCTCAAATTCTAGTGTTATAAGTCTTCGAGCTTTACATCTGAGCCACTGGGGAACAAAATATAAGAAAACATTAAAATTAGACACAATAGTTGTGTAAATACTATCAATATTTATTAATTTATTTGAAAATTATTATACATTAGCTAGAGTACCCGTCCCCTGGACGAAAGGTATGCAAATTCATGATCAATGAAAAGTTATCTTAGGGCATGAAAAGTTGCTTCCCTTATATGTAATTGTAAAAAACGCAAAAACGCCCATAAAAACAGCAAAACACAAAATATGAAACCACAACTTTGCATGTATCGCATGGACCAACAAACTTTCATTTCAAGTTTGGTGAAGATCGATCAAGAGGGAGCGAAGTAGTGGTAAGAAACACCTATAAAAACCAAAAAATGCAAAACTGAAAATTTGTATATATCTCCCCATGGACCCAATGAATCTCCATATCAAATTTGGCGAAGGTCCATTTAAAGAAAGCGGAGTAGTAGCAAAAAACGCCCATAAAAACCGCAAAATGCAAATCTAAAAATTTGTATGTTCCTCCGCATGGGCCTAATGAACCACAATATAAATTTGGGTGAAAATCCATCTACACCCTGCAAAGTAGTTACAACAGACAATACTACTATTTATATAGATTTATTAATTTGCACAGCAAGAATAGTAATGCATTAGAATAATTTTCTAACTAATAGAGAAATGAGCATAACGTTCAGAGATTTTTTTGAACACGCATCTCTTTACTTATGAAATATATTTCTAAACACTTAATTCATAGTCCTACCTCTCGAAAAGTACATGGCTTTTACTTTAGAGTGACTCTGATATTTTGGTCTGACTAGAGTCTAAAAGATTCTTGTGCGCATTATTATCAAATATTATCTAACGTAAAGAATGAAAAGAAATAAACAATTAAATGAATTCTCTCTGATTCTATAAGAATAGGGATGTATGTAAAACTATGCAAATAACACGTTATCTTAACATATTGCAAAGCCTTTTTTTCGGTACTACAATTTCTACACATTTAAGCAATTTTAGAACAATTAGCTCTTCATCAGCTCATACACAAAATAAAAAAAAATTAAAGTAGGAGACTGTATAGAATGGTTACAAAAATCTATGTATAACAAAAAAAAGTAACTTGACGTCGAACTCAGCCTAGAATAAATGAGTCTTTTACCCTGAAATAATATCTGGCGTTCTTTAGTGAATACAATGTTTTAGCTGACCAAGCATTCCAGGAATGGCACTTTTGGAATACTAACCACCTCGTTTATCTGAGAAAGGTCAGTTTCTTTCTCTCTTTTTTTTTTGTGACAGGTTAAGTTCGTTCAGCATTGTGACAGCTTCTATAATTAACGAAACAGAAACGTAAGAATAGATACAGAACACAAGAGATTCCAATGCATTTATCAAGCGTGAGAAAATAAAAACTTTAAATAATTTCAAAATTTACATCTTTTAAATAGGTAAAAATACACGGTGTTCCAAAATTATGTACTCGAAAGTAAAATACCATAAGGTAAAAGGTAGGACCACAAATGTAATTGAAACTTTGCTTAGTTATAAGTAAAATTATTCATGCCTGTAATGACACGAAATGCTCCTATATCAAGTTTGAAAGTATGAGACGATGGGTGCTATCCCTACATCCGTTGCAATACTCATGATGGCGAGGACGTGGACTTTTAATTGTGTGTAGGGTAAGTTGACATCATTAAGTACAACTAAGCTACGTTTCAGTGTCTCTGCGTTCAACCGTTGTTGTTTTAAAACTTATGGATGAATAATGTAGTACAACCCTATATATGTAAACAGTACAAACGAAACGAAACTTCTAGTTTGGAGTGTCGATTGTCTTGGAGGAGATCGGCTGATCACGAATGGTGAAATCGTTCAAAATAAATATACGACAGAAATATTGATCTATAGATGGTTTATATCATCCAGATTATGAAATTGAAAGCTATTATACGATGTGGAGCCATTTTTTCTGAAATAGACAATGTGGATACAACACAGCTATAAAAAATTCTTCTCTACACCTGATAACTGTTTGTTCTATTTTCAGGCTATTAATCAGTTTATCGTATAAAATGTATATTCCGTTTTAATTATTTGTACCGATATTATCCATATATATATACTCACACAGACTTTATGCCTTATTGCATTACATTCTACCTACTTCTTATCGTGTTTCAAATACCGTGTTTTGCTTTATCAATAGCTTTTGCATTTTTTGTCTGTCTGTGTGTTTCATTTTTCTTACATGCTGTTTTTACGTTAATTTGCTTCTTTTAATTTTTATATTTTGTGGCTAGTATACTAATAAAGTTTGACACCACTTTTCCTAGCGGTAGTTTCCTGGAGTTGAGTAAGATCATCGAACGACAAGTAAGTAACTGTCTCTTAAAATCTGATCGTTTGGAAAAAGGTTGAATAAAATACTATTAATCTTTAAGAGTGTGATAAAGTGTTTTGGTTTGAGCATTATACTTTGCCTTAATGAAAGCTTTTACGATTGATTTCTCTTTATTGACATTGCTGATAACGTATACGTAAAACTTTCAGTTTCGACTGTTTCTTTGTTACTCATTTTGTTCAACGATTTATGAATGACTAAAGACTGAGTGATCAAACATGATGTATAATTATGTTTTCTATTTTTTGTGTCAACTTTTATGTCATAGGGTTTATGTACTGCTAATTTGGCGCGTGATTACCATAAATATGGTACACGGATAACCTCAAGTTCTTAAGTAAATCTAACTATTTTAAAGGTATATTCATGCATTTAATATACTTTTAAAATTTCTTCAGTTTTGAGTAAAAATTACGTTGATTTAGTAACTTTCACATAAACATCACCAGATCTACTTTCTTTAATCTACAATACAGTATTTCTATAATGGTCACTAACTAATGGTTAAAATATTCTGTCCTGGTCGAAGTAGGAGGAACAGAACAGTGCAATGTTTGTTCATATCTTTAGCAGTGTTGTATGCAGGCATAACATGTCACGTGTTTTTTACCTTATTGTTTCAATAAAGATTTTTTCGAAGCTTGTCAGTTATTCTGAGTATGTGCAGTTTTCATAGAACACATGGTTAAGGAAGTTGATATCTAATGGTAAGTTAGATTACAACCTCCTTTATATCTGAATATAAATGACCAGTTACATGTGTAGCTTTAGTCGTTCTGGGTACGTCAGAGCTACCGTTTAACTAAGTCACTTAAGGTTTAATCAGTCCAGAACATGGCCTCAATCAAGGCAGTACGGAGAGAAATTAGTTTTGATTCAACAGAAGCAACAGTATGTCGTATAAAGCAAGCACAAACACCGTGTTTGGGTTTCAATGAAGATTGTTCATTGTATTTTTGCACTATTGTGTCCAGTCTCTTTATTCCCTTTTCACGAACTCAGTTATTTAGAGGAACTTCGTAATAAATATCTTGTTCGAATCTCCTTTTATTCTCCTATACTTTGATCACAAAGGATTTTGCACCCTGTTTAGATTTTGGTTTTGAAACTTTGTCATTTATTAAACACAAAGAATTTTGAGTAGCGAACATACTGCTACTATATTTAAAATTATGAATGAAATACATACTAACATTTGATAACTGCAGAAAACATATTACTGAAATATTACATGAAGAGCTGCTAGTTAAAAGAAGAAAAATGATAAGGAAGTACCTAACAACAAATTATTTAAATTATATAAAAAGAAACAGATATAAAACCAGTCATTTACAAAAGGCGCGATAAATGTAACATCTGGAAATAAAAAAAAAATAAATAAAAGAGAAGAGGATGCTGAATAAGTTATTTTGGACTTACAGGAAAACCTAAAATATTTGTATTACTAGCGAAATCCTTTAAATTATTTTATAAAACACAATCTTCAAAACAAACATATTTAATTTAATTATTGTATACATAGCACTGGATTGAACATATGGTATTTTTTATTTGTAATATTATCTAATATATAATTACAGAAACTGTTATATTAACGACATGCTTTAAAACACACATTGATCAATAAGGATACATGTTTGGAGGGGAGAATTTTTATTTCAGATAAGTTATATTATTATTATTATTCAAGCAACGTTGTGCGGTACACTTAAACCAACATAAGTGAACGATCAAATGTAACGTTATTGGTGCTTGAGGTACCACATTATTGTCACTGAAAACAATACTATGCATTGAGACAGCGACCAAGAAACGTCAAGAACTAGTTATAATGTTTAAAACCACGTTTTTAACGTTATATCTCTCTTAGTTTGTGTTCTAAACATGCTAATGATTACATCAAAGTAATTAATTTAATCGAAGCTTTTACTGTCCTGTCCTGATACTGATACATTTTATATGCGACCGTTCTGACACTTCTAAGAAACTTGGAGCACACTCCACTAGGGGGTACCACTGGGCTACAGGTTCTCGAGGTGTGTCCAACATTTCCAGCCAGTGATCTCGTCCCAAACCAATACATTGGCTACCAATTGCACAACAGCCAAGCATTTCATTTGCCCCAACTCTAAAAAGAGAAAAACAATAATTATGAATTAGTATTGCTGCGTTGAAAATGTACAAGGAAGCATATTTTATTTCATACAAATAACAATATAATAGATGATTTTAAACCATTTTTAAAATCACATTATTTCGCTTGCACTTTAACCACTGCAGATTGAGTTGATTTCATTTTGATAAGAAGTTTATGAATTGCTACACACATTTGACTACTTAAATTTTGTAATTCTTTAACAACTATTACTTTTAGTACATTGTACATTTTTAAATAAAACTTCATCACGATAGCTTTGGAACATTTACTACATCAGGTCATGCACATGTTCAAAACATTTTAACACTGATTGTGTGTGATAGTTTGTATATTAAGAAAATTTGCGTTCAATCTCCGAATGAGGATGGTTTTTGACAAACAATAAAGCGAACAAGCCATTTAAATTCGAATAAGAAAGTTCCCAGGACTCTTTATCCATTGTTTGTATATCACAAAATTCACTTCACATAACTGTACAATATACGTACCTGTCATAGTCAATAACTTTGACTAATAGGTTAACATCTTCAATATTTCCCGCTGGGACATCAAAAACTAGCGCTTCATTGTAAACGGGATTCAAAGTTGATTTTTTTACGGTTGTCTTCTTTTTCTTAATTCGCTTTCCTTGACAGACAAGAGAAACTTTGACGTAAGGATCTGAAAACATAAAATTAAGAACATAGATGTTTTTAGATGTTTATCGAAGAAAACTAGGAAGTGAAACTGCTTGATAAAAACTTCAATAAAAGTATGTTTCACTCATTTATAATTTTAGTTAACGAGACTTTTATTACATTGGCGATGTTTAATGATAAAAAACAAAAATGATGCAAAATTTCAATAATGAAACTAGAAAGGTATAACAGATTTTAGTATTTTTTTCCAATAACGTGAATATCTTAGGTTATAAAGCTCCAATAATTTTTCGATAAATTTCCAAGATTGGGCCTGTCATGGCCTGTTGGTTAGGGTTCTAGACTAATAATCTGCGGGTCGCGGGTTCGAATTCTTGTCACCGAACATGCTCGCCCTTACAGCCACGAGGCGTTATAATATGACGGTCGATCCGACTATTCGTTGGTAAAAGAGTAGCCCAAGACTTGGAGGTGGGAGATGTTGACTAACTGCCTTCCCTCAAGTCTATCGCTGCTAAATTAGGGACGGCTAGTGTAGTTAGCACTCAAATAGCTTTGCACAAAATTCAAAACAAACCAACCAACATTTGGTTAGTAGTTCAAAATTAAGAACAGCGGCAGATAGCCTAACTAACTTTATACTAAATACAAAAGTTAAATGCAAAAAAATTAAAAAAACGTTAAGAAACCAAAACCAAAAATATCATATACGAATTTAACAGTGAAAGTAATGATGAATATATTATAACATGTCAACCGTATCACATCTACGTTATAGTGCCGATGAAGCTTTTCGCCCAATAACAGGGCTCATCAGGGCGACAGACATAGCAGTATCTAGTCTCTATTTATATCGTGAACAACACTGTTATGGTGTGAACTAGATTGAGTAAGTGAATTGTAAATATCATCAGTTTTATTCAAATCATTTACAAATCGGATTTTTAGGATAAGGATTAATATCACAATATTATTTGTTTATTTCATTTTAACACAGATTATCTCTGCTATTATTATTTTTATTTGAATTAACTCTATTATTCAGAAGAACTGACTGGCGAAGCAGCAAACTAAACTAGCTGCAAATAAGGCAATTTTGTGCACCAGTGGTGCAATCCGGAATGTATTTAAGCGTTTTTGAAAAGCCAGGATGATTCTATATGTTTTTTTTTATTTCTATAGATTATGTGATCATTTAAATGCAGTAATTACTATAATGCTAAAGAATCCACATAAAATGTGTTACTAAAAAAGTTAAGATATCTGATAATCCGGTTTTATTTATATACTATATGATTACTATTAGCGTTGCAACATCACCAAAGGGCTGGGCGTGGCCTGGTTGTTAATGTGCTTTAACTGTGAATCTGATGGGTTCACGGTTCTTGACTTGCTGTCGGAGAAACACACTTGCCAATTATGACGTGGTTGCATTATAAGAGTGACTGTGAGACGCCATTATTCAGTACGACAAGAGTAGCCCAAAAGTTGGGGGTGGGTGGTGTTGAATAGCTGTCCTTGATCTAGTCGACAATTCCAAATAAAGGACAGCTATACGCGTATAGCTCTTTGTGTGCCTTTGCCCGAAAATTCTGAAACAAACAAACAACTGGTAACTTCCAGTTACATTCTATAAGGTCACGCAAATATCATTAGTAAGGTAGCAGAGCAACTGCTTACTGCGCCATTAGTAAGCTAACAGAGCAGCTGATTACTGTGTTATTAGTAAATTAACAGAACAGCTGGCTACTGTGTCATTAGTAAGTTAACAGAGGAGCTGGTTACTCTGTTATTAGTAAGTTAACAGAGCAGCTGGCCACTGCTATGAATTATATAAGCATTGTAAATAATTTATCAGAATATTTATCAATATCCATTAAGCAGATGAGTGCACTGGCAACTTTCATGAATAATGTAACAGATATTAGTAAAATAATTAGTAATTTTCAACGACCACCATGATAAAAACAAGTACGTTGAATAAATGATGTAAGAATGCTGTAAAACAACAACAACAACAAAAAAGATTCACCTGATGACCCAGTGATGTCCATCGCTTTCAAGTTTCTTGCCTTCATAATTGTAACTGTTAGTCTGCCAGCAGTCGGGAGGTAACACAATGATAACATCAACTCTCCTAAGTTGTCTTTGACCTTGGTTGAATATATATTAAAAAAAACAATAAGATTATAAAACAGTTGCTAACTGCAACAGTATCATTTTTATAAGTGTTATATGACCTTGCTAGATGAGATCAGGATGTTTAAAGCAATTATCAACTACAACTAGGGTCAGATGCTATTTATAACCAGATGGTGCAGTGCGAATGATATTGACAACATACCAGAAGTTAATTTTTTACTGCATATTTATTTCATCAGTTGACTTAATGATTAGGCTTTTTCGTCAATACTTTGTGAGCTAATTGTCTAATTTGTGTCCTCTATGTTTCACAGATATGGCTAAAAATGTTTGGCCTAGCTATACTTTGAAACATTTTTTTCCCAAATAAATGATGAATAAAACAATGTTTTCCAGTTTCACTTTTCATAAATATCGTTATTATTCAGATATTGTTAGGTGAAGAATGATAAGAGCACAGAATGAAAAATGTATTACTTTTCAATATATTCTTTGACCCTGGTAAAATAGGTCCACGGTGATAAAGTATATAAAATACTTAATGGTTCCAACAATGCCATTATCCTAATTATTTGTCGTTATTAGAAGAGAGGTGCCTTTGTCATTATACCGAGCATGATTAGCTTACGTGTTAGAAAAAACAGCAACAACTTGACTTTATCAAGACATTGAGCTTGATTTGCTCGTAAGATAGACTCAAAAACGTAAGAATGAAAGTGGCTTTGCCAAGTTATTGTGCAGAATCTATCCATTTATCGACTTAACTTGTCACAATTAAAGTGATTTGTAAAGGTACTATTGAAGACCTAGTGGCATTATTAACTTTACTCGTTAAATCTATAAACGGCACTTTCAAGTAATACAAGAAGGGATCCACCAAAACCCACATAGTTTACATAATTTAGAATACATGTTAAACATTTCGAACTTTGTTGGGGATAAATGTTCTCTATAACTAGATTAAGCTGATTAATGAAAACAAAAAACGTAAATTATAATGAAATGAGTGCTTCAAATATTCGCACAAAGTTACATGTGTTGTCCCTAATTTTGAGCTGATAGACTAGAGGGAAGGCATATAATCAACAGCACCCTCCGCCAATGCATGGTATACTCTATGCGAATAGTAGGATTTGACCATCACTCTTATAAGGCACCCAAGACCCCTAAGAGCGGAGCGCGATGTCGCAGAAACGGGAGGCAAATCATAGACCTTAAGAAACACAGTTGAAATTAATCAGGTTATACCACATTTAATGTAGGAGAAGTCATCTAAAAGAATTACATTAAGAGCTTATTTACGATACTTTGCACGAACTTTGAACATAAATGTGTAGTTGTTAAACATATTTTATTGTATGCTTATCGATCAAATGAACGTATTGATAATGTCAAACACAACATGGAATTTGTTAAAAAGAATAAAAACACCACGAGGATATAAAATCAGACTTATAATCTGTATACAGGAGTAGAAAGTATACCGTAACAGCTTTGTGGGAGGGTATTATAGCTTAAGAGAAACCCACAGAGAGATGATATGCAATGTATATCAAAATATACTTCTATTTTTAAACGTGAAATACATTTTTTTTCCCTGAGAAGCAGACGCTTATAAGGATGATTAAGCCCACACATTCCAACTGTAGAACTACTATTCAAGTGTGCAGCAAGCTATGGAAAACTCATAGAAGCACAATGAAACTGTTTATTACACTGAACAAAATTAATCTTTTTCTAAGTATGTTATTAAAAACACGTTAACGAAGCTTCTTTCCAGCTTCCAAAATAGACACATTTAAGATGAGTAGGAGGATAAATATTATGAAGAATTATAAAATTTGATGTTACATCTCTAAATTCAATTAATACAATACAACACTTCCCGCTGTAATCAGTTTCTAATAATACCCATTTTAATTGTTCTTTGAATGCGTAAAGTTATGTTGTAAATAATATGTGGGCACTAAATGTTACATTTTTATCTAAATTATCTTTGACACCAAAGTTGTAGTAATATAACATTTGAACTTTCTACTGCATGAAAATATTGCGGAGTTTATAAGCTGTAAAATATTTTTGCCAAACTTCCTATTTGATATGCAGAGAACCAGATTTCATGATCAACTGTACGTAAGCCGACTAATACATGATTTATCAGTGAAGACGAGGTTTAAGTATCCTATACTTTATTTAAAAGTCACAGCATTATTTACGTAGATCAGTTCTAATACAAGAAATGAAGTTGGAGTTTAATAAAACTGTGATAACTGTGAATTCAACATCAAGATGTAAATCAAAGAATTAAAAGTTTGTCCATTTGCATTATACAGTAACTAAACTAAGACTAATAAAGTGAAAGTTATTTTTTAACTAAAACAATTTAAATGTCCATTGATGTTATTGATAATGTGTGATTGTATCAACTTATAAACATTTCATCGTTTTTATTTTGCTTCTTGTTAAGCACGAAGCTATACGATGGGCTATTTGTGCTGTGCCCACCGCCAGTATTGAAACCTGATTTCTAACACCACAAACCCAGAGACTTACCACTGAGTTACTGTGGTGGAGCGGGATATCTTTTTAAAAACGGTAATTTGGCTTACACACTATTAAAATATGTCTGTTTTTTTTTCAGACATTTGCGCAAAGCTACTCAAGGGTACTCAGCACTAGCCATCCCTAATCTTGAATTTATAGGCAAGAGGGAAGATAACTAGTCAACGTTACCCATCTCCAACTCTTGGGCTAGTCGAATCACACAGATTCTGTGGCATTGTGATGTGAAATATGAATCCCCAGATTCACAGACCAGTACGATAAATATTAGACCACACCTGCCCCTAAGATGGGACTCCAGTTACTTAATATAAGATATTGTTTTATAAATCAAATTATTATTTAGCCGAATAATGCATCGTATAGGTAATTTAAACCTGTTAACCGTCATAACAATTTCTAAACCATGCATTAGTTAAGTTAACTATGATATGATATACGAGTAATAAAATAACTTCAATAAATATATGCTATTAAAGCGAATAAGTGCATTAATGAATGACTCCTTTTACGATGTTTATTTAATTCATGACATGCATAAAACATTCTAAAGTTTATCTAACTTTTATATTATTTCAATATTTATGAAAATAACTAAGTGATTTTAGATTTAACTTCAAGTTATTTACACCCTAAAAATAATAAAAAACAACAACAAAAAATTGTCATTACGCTAGCTCCACATTTATGTATGTATACTATACTCTAACAAAACATTTGAGGCATCACACCTTGTGAATGGAAGGCTGGTATCTCTCCGTTTGTGCTTTGTACGAATAAAGAGAGGACAAACTTACGATATCAAATACAGCTTAAGCTTTCTAATTAACACTTGCTACCAACTTTTTTCAAAGCATCTTAAGGTGTAGCGATATTCTATCTAAGGGCGATTAATTTCTATTCAAAATAGAACTTTACGCTAAACAAGGTGGATTCTGAAAGTTCATTGTTTCAAAATATTTCTGGATATGCATTGTGATATTAAATGAAAGATGTGTGGTTCTTTCCCACAGAATTCAGTCACAACAAATGTCTACGAGATGATGAAGCATTTATGATTTCCTTAACTGTTATAAGTGGACAAAAAAAAATGTATCAGTTAAAGCAGGCCCATAAAGTGATATACAGCTCCTAAGCAAACAATGAAATGCGGATTCATCACTCCACATGACGAGTTTTTCCGACTTTTCGGTTTAATTCAAACACTTAAGGTAACATGAGAACCTACGCCTTGTATTCGCACTTATTATGAGTGTTTTATGAACAAATTACCGACAGTGGACTGAGGATGTGTGGGTGTTCACAAATGTTCCATATATTCGTATCACCAATGTTATGGCCGAAAACTTAACTTTTGAATATGCATGAGCTTTCTTCTTCGTGGCATTTTGCTTCAATTGGCTGGCTGTGACAGCTGATGACCTTTATATAATATATACTACAGTGCATCATTGGTTTAACGTTTACCTTCAGGAAGGACGATATCATTTCTAGCTAGAGGTGGGATATCATAGTGCTCTTGATAATATATTTAAAGTGAGCTCTCAAAATATTTTATTTGTTACAACACCGTTTAATGAAATATTTATATTATAATATCAAAAACATTTAGCATATTATGAAATACATTCGCCAAGCAGATATCAGGAGCTGAGTTATGAACATCGAATTAGGTTAATACAAATAATGAGTGATGTTACACAAAGATTTGATTCACATTAAAGTAAATCGAGAGATAAACAGGGTGAAACAATATATTAGCGTCAATGGTAAAGTGTCGTTTCGCCAAGCAGATATCAGGAGCTGAGTTATGAACATCGAATTAGGTTAATACAAATAATGAGGGATGTTACACAAAGATTTGACTCACATTAAAGTAAATCGAGAGATAAACAGGGTGAAACAATATATTAGAGTCAATGGTAAAGTGTCGTTTCGCCAAGCAGATATCAGGAGCTGAGTTATGAACATCGAATTAGGTTAATACAAATAATGAGGGATGTTACACAAAGATTTGACTCACATTAAAGTAAATCGAGAGATAAACAGGGATGAAACAATATATTAGCGTCAATGGTAAGGTGTCGTTTTATGACAAAATCTTACTTGAAAATTTTATAAAGAAAAAAACGTTTTAGTCAAATTTTGAATTCCAGAACACGTTATAGTAATCTGAAGTTGTTCACATAATGCTTGCGATGTGAAAATATTATTTTGTTTCTAATTATTTACAAAAAATCAATGCCCCAAACACGCAAAAGATCATTTATGCGAAAGCTTCATTTTCCCTATTTGTTATGGAGAAAATGTGATGACTTGTGGAAACGTTACTTATGAAACGAAACGGCGCACAACTGGTTCTTATTCTGCATCACCAGTAATGTTTTTTTTTTTTACTGGCTTCTAATTTAATAGTTTCTGTTAAATTAGTTAGTCGTTGGAAACACTTTCACCCACAGAGTTATTTGATCGTTGAGTATTTTACTGTTTGAACTTGAAAAAACAAACAAACAACTTTAAGGCTTTTAGGTGCTTAGTCATGAACGCGAACGTAATATCACAGTTTGATTCTGTTTCATGTCATTCCGCCCACATCTTTTAACACCTAACAGGAAGGTTGAAGGAGTAGGTCGTGTTCATTAAAATAACGTTATTGATTATCTAAATGGGTGGATCGAAGTCTAAACTATGGTTCGTTGAATGTATTTGTTTCAAGGCAAATTTAAATAAAAAAGAAACATTATAAGCGCCACATTTAGAAAGATCTGAGTTATTATTTTACTTTGCTGGTTTGACATTAATGAAAATGCTGTTTCAATTATTCGTGCTTAATTATAATCAATTACACGTTAAATGTTTTTGTTTCTAAAATACAAATGAATACTTTTATATTTCACCTTAATCTAGTTTATAGAATATGTTACAGTTATAAATTGCATTGTTAAAGTATACAGCGAATAAAGTAATTAATACTGTGTTCTACCTATCTAAAGTATTATGTTTATTTAAATAAAAATTCACAGATGGATTTTGCGCGAAAGTGTCTACGCTAAACAATAGAGAGAGAAAGACATATTTAGATATATTTTTTGATAAGTTCTTACTTAAAAAAATAAGATTTCTAATTTCAGAGTTTTTCCTTTTGTGGCAGGGTTTGTATGTATAAAAGTTAATCTATAAACTTTCATTAACAGATATTTACTGTTTGACCAAAATACTATATTAAGAAACGACTTCTATACTTAAAACTGATATTTTTATATATTCAATGATTAAAATAGTATAATCTAGACAATAAACACCAGATATTCGGGTTTTCGACATTTTTATGTCAATTGGCTCAGTTTTTTCTGATTTATTTTTTGTATAGATGAAACTTATATTGATGTGCTATCATTATTAAGCTTACTTGTACCGTTTGAACCAAAAGAGCTGCATCACTCAAAGCTCTCATCTATGATGAACATTGCACCCTTGGGAGTTAATCAAATCTTCTTGAAAGGAGACTCGGAAAAAGAAAGAAAGGAGACTTGGAGAAAGCATGCAACATTATGTATGATTCAAAGATCGCATTTTGGTGTTGATTAAAAGTAAATGTGACCTTGTGTGTTAAACAAGAACATACGTAAATGTTCCAAATGGCTAGAAAGCCTGTTTACAAGAAAGTACATTGCACAATAAGCTTATGTTTATCTATTTTATATAGAACGCATGAAAGAAATACAACATTATTATTTTTGCTTTAAGACATTGTAGAAACAAATTAGAATGTTTTTAAAGAGAAAGAAAGTTATATTAATATACAATTATTTGCTTGATATGCTAAGCCAAGTACTATACTCGATTGGTTTGGTTGTTGTTAAGCGCAAAGCTATCCAATGGGCTATCTGTGCTGTGCCCACGATGGGTTTCCAAACCCTTTAACATTATAAGCCGTCAAACTTAACGATGAGCCACTGAATGGCATATAAAACAATAATAATAATGAATTATACATGTATAGTAAATAAGATAAAAATGTTTGTCGCGATTTTTTGAGCTCCAATTAAACTGCCCTCCTATAGCTAAGCCGTAAGTCTGAAGACTTAAAACGCTACAAGTCAGTTTTCGATACCCGTGGTGGGCACAACACACTGTGTAGCTTTTTGCTTAACAAATAATAGACAAATAAACTTAAAAAAAACGTTTGTATTTTTGTATTTTTGTTTTTTACCTGTGATGAAATAATGCATGCTAAAAATATCAATATCAAATATCATCGGCCTTTTTGTTACACCCTGGTATCTTTCACCATATTTGCTACTTGTTTGGAATCACTTTCTTGTTCCAGCATATCTTATTCCCAACACTGTGTTTTCTAACACTGTTGACTGAGATGAAGCTCACGCTTGTGTTGGTCCCCAACATGCTTCACAGCAGATGTTGTACGTTGAGCGTGATGCCGTATTTTTCTCGCCCATCAAACAAATTGTCGTTGACTTTTCCAAAAAAAATCTGAATTTGGGTTCTTCCATAAGAATACCTCGTTCATCCCATTATTTAAGTCTGATGCTCATTTCAGCTTTTTGGTTTAGTTGTCTTTCTTAAGCAGCAGATTTTGAGCAGCTACACATATATTGAGGTCATTTCTCTATTTGGGCTTTCTACCTCTACCACTTCTATTATTAAGAAAACTAGTTTCAAGATCCTTCTTTAGACTTGCAATACAACTCCTACTGAAGCATGAAATTTCGCAAATTCTGTCGCATGGTGTAGTCTTTACCAGCCCAAACTTTGATTTCTGGATTTTTTTCATATTGCATTTCAGTCTTGGGGACCATGAGTGCATTCACCACACTACTGTTGGGAATTGTACGAATGTCTGTACTTTTATAAACATTATGCTTGTGTGGCACTATCTGATTGGTTGTGTAAACTATTAACATGTGTACTATTGCAGCTAATTTTCATGAAATAGAAAGAGAGCAATTATATATATAATTTACATTTATTCACTCTTTAAATAATTATTTCCAGTAATGTACACATATTGCAATTCCATGGCCTACTCGAAAATACTTATTTCGTCAATACTACCCGCACAATGTAGTCTTAAAATATTTTTGAGCGATTTAAAGATAAAAGTAGACAATGTTTGCTTATCAGTTGACTTAAATCAAAGTGCTAAACTCAATAACCCCACTGGTTTCTGAATTCTTTAAAGCATGTTTTTGGCTTTAAGAATTGCTCCAAATATATTTTGAGAAACACCTCGTTATAACAGAAAAAAGTAATTACGAAAAAGCAGACAATATAAATGGTTTGGATATTTTATATTATGTTCAAAGTAAATAATGACGTCTAATTTGAATTTAATGCGAGCTCAGCATTTGGATATAAAAAGGTATTTATGAACTTGCCCTAAAGATGCATGACTGTTTTATATGTGTGTAAGGCAACCTCCCCCCTCTTTAAATGCTGAAAATAGACAGTATGATGAGGTTTAACGGATAGATATATTAGTCATACCACAGTAAAATGTTTTTGCCAATCACTTGTCTATAATATTTACTTACTGAAGAACGTTTGTTTGCTTGTTCGTAATTAAGCACAAAGCTACACAATGGGCTATCTGTGCTCTGCCCATCACGGGTATCGAAACCCGGATTCTAGCGCTGTAAGTCCGCAGACATGCCGCTGTGCCACTGGGGGCACTGAAGAACGAGCCGTTACTTTTGTGACACATAGACATCTTGTACTTAGCTACAAGCTAAAATATGATTAAAACGTTCGGACTGGGATCACTTTATTGTTTGTTATAGTTATTATTATTCAAACATTCAGCTGAGTATTTGTCGCCATACAAATAATCAATCGGTCTACGAAGTTCTAAGACTTACCCAACATATTTTGTTAAGTTAGTTCGACAAATATATACTTTTGAATGTTTATTTAGAATACTTTATCAAATTAATCTAACGTATAAATTATTCTAAAGCTTACTTAACGGATTTTATCAAATTAACCTAAAGGACAAGTAATGCCGAAGCTTAGTTAGAAGACTTTGTTAAATTAATCTAAAGAGAAAGTAGTTCTAAAACTTACGTAACTCATTTTGTGAAAGTAAGCTAATGGATAAGTAACTCCAAACCTCAGTTATCATGCCTTTGTTTTCTATTTCAGATCACAAGAGAAAAGTAGAGAACAGAGATGGTTACAATGTTTCCAGTTGAGTTCTAGTTTTTAATACACAGGTTATAAAGAAATTCTGGTGTCACTTTCGTACAGTATTTAAAACAATACATTATTCACTACCGCTGTTTCTCAAAATGAGCAATTGTATATATATTTTTTCGTATGTTCACAGTGTTCTCCATACTCAAATAGTTCCTAATTTAGTCAGAATGAGAAAACTTAGAAAAAACTATCACCTTTTAAACGAAGTAATTGTGATATTTATCATTTGCGTGGCGGGTTAAATGTCTTTTAGAGTGTGTTTATTGTTGATCACTAAAATTTTTAGGAACAAATAATAGTCTTAGATCTACAGAAAATAACGCTAAGGTTGCTGGTGTGAATAGTGTTGATCTCTAACCTTTTCAAGAACATATACTAACTCGATTCTACAGAAACTAATGGTAAGGTTGCTGGTGTGAATAGTGTTGATCTCTAACCTTTTCAAGAACATATACTAACTCGATTCTACAGAAACTAATGGTAAGGTTGCTGGTGCGATTAATATTGATCATTAACTTTTTTTTTTCGAAACTTGTATTATTCCTATTTCTACAGAACATAAAGGCGAGGTTGCTGAATAATATAACTAACTATTCACGGGCGTCCTCGGGGGGGGGATGAAGGAGCGCCCATGTCCGCGCCAGGTTGCTGAATAATATAACTAACTATTCACGGGCGTCCTCGGGGGGGGGGGATGAAGGAGCGCCCATGTCCGCGCCCACAGAATGAACGGATTTAATAAAGACCTAATTATCGGAACAGAGAACGATAGTTATCTTAATCCTAGAATAACTGGTAGTTTAGTGATTCAATGCGAATTTACTACTTAATGTAAAACAGGCCCAACATTTTCTAAAAGTCACATAACACTTTTATACAAAACTATCAAAATTACTTAAAATGGGAAAACTCTTACCAGAGAGTAAATATTCACATTATACAAATAGTTAATGCAGAGAGACAAAATTATGGTGATCAGGTTTTTATCAAGTGTAATATATATACACACACACCTTCATCATTATTAGTTTGATATCTTATACTTCTTACCTGAGGCACACACATTATATCCATGATGTACTCCATTTCATACTTGACGTCACACAGCTCAGCCAATCCTTTGACGAGGACTTGTCCAATTAAATCATGTTTAGAGAATCGGTCGAAGTCGTATACAGAAAATTGTAATGTGCGACTCTTCAACTGGTCGTAACTGACGCCGAATACAAATGTTTCATTAAAGACCGGGTTTAAATTTTTCTATGGACCTATAAAACATAAATAAATAAATCACCTTGGTAAAGGAAAACGAATCTATAAACAGTACAACAAATGTTTATTATTATTAAGATCTACTTGCGTGATCATTACAAAATTCCAAATGTTCAAAATGTTCACCACTATTATCAGTGCATATGTAATATTATAGTTATTGTTTCCAAAAAATTCACTTTGAGTTAGCATCCTTACCATCTTTAGTGTTTGTTTGTTTGTTTTTGAATTTCGCGCAAAGCTACACGAGGGCTATCTGCGCTAGCTGTCCCTAATTTAGCAGTGTAAGACTAGAGGGAGGGCAGCTAGTCATCACCACCCACCGCAAACTCTTGGGCTACTCTTTTACCAACGAATAGTGGGATTGACCGTCACATTATAACGCCCCCACGGCTGAAAGAGCGAGCATGTTTGGTGTAACGGGGATTCGAACCGGCGACCCGCAGACTGCGAGTCGAGCACCCTAACCACCTGGCCATGCCGGGCCTCCATCTTTAGTGTGTGTGTTTGTGTTTCTGCTATGGCTCACTCTGCATATATATATAGGCCTATATATGTTATAACACTAATTTGTTCTGACCCTTGGGTAGTTTCAAAGATAACAGTAGTTAATAACTGAATAAATTGAATTTTTGGATTTGTAATATTTGATAAATCAATTTATGGAACGATATTTAACGTCACTATAATTTGCTTTTCAGTTTTATTCTAAGCCAGATTAAAGTAGGCATAAACTAGGAAGTAAAATGGAAAGTTAACAATGGAAGGTGTAATGGCGTCCTGGTATTTTCAACTTTTAATTTGACTTTTTTATTTTGTTTTCTATAGAAAGCCAAGCTACAAATCAGCACTATAATATAAATGTGTTAAACTAGTTTTCTCTAAGAAATCAATTGATTCTGCGAAGGCTGCTGTTTTAGGACTAAGCATATAGAAGAGACTGCAAGGCTAAACAGAGGAGCGGAGATTGCAGTGCTAAACAAAGAAGCGGAGACTGCAATGCTAAACATAGAAGAGGAGACTGCAAGGTTAAACAGAGGCGTGGAAACTGCAAGACTAAACAGAGAAGCAGAGACTGCAATGCTAAATAGAGGAGCGGAGACTGGAAGGCTAAACATAGGTGAGACTGTATGGCTAAATAGAGGAGCGGAGACTGCAAGGCTAAACAGATGAGCGGAGACTGCAGTGCTAAACATAGGTGAGACTGTATGGCTAAATAGAGGAGCGGAGAGTGTAAAGCTAGACAGAGAAGCGGAAACTGTAGCTCTGAACGTAGTAAGGAACCGGCAGTGCTAAACATAGAAGACTGCAGCGCATTACAGACGAGCTGAGAGTCGCATGGTACCTTAATCTAATATGCAGATGTGAAACCTACTAACCCGGGTCTGAAACTTCTTCTTGCGATCTGGCTGGAGATAAACCTTCACGTATGGATCTGAGGAGCCCATGAAATCCTTCACTGGGAGATCTCTGGCTTGCAAAACCTACAGTAACCAACATTGGATTAAACAAATTTACCTGGGTTTATAAATGTATTTCTTCCTTGATGATTAGAAAATATAATATACAAAGTTAAAACATACCAATAACGTATTAAAATAGCTGTTAAATCTCTGAAAAACTCTAGGTTGGGAAGGAAGAGGAAAAATTACTTTCTGACTCTGATTACACTTTGTAGATTAAAGTATTTATCGTTAGTATTAATCAAATGGCGGCATATTCGAAGTTCAAGTTCAAATAATACAAAAAAAGAACCAATCTATAACCAAGTAACAGGTTAAAACTTATTCTAAGAAACGTTATTTGGTATTTATTTTCAGAGTTTGCTGTTTTTCGAATAACTAAGTTTTTATAATGGCTTACTAATTAACTCCGCGATCTGTAGCCTAATGATCGTCTTTTTTTAACGTGTTTCTAAGTATGCCTGGATGTTTTCATTGACCGTATAGATGTCTTTATTAGAAAATGGGAATTATCTATTAGACTTCTGGGTTCATTGAAATATAGAATTCACTCACGTCTCGCAAATGTTTGCTTGTTTGTTTTAGAGAAAAGCCACATCGGGCTATGTGCTGTTTCCACTGCGGAGAATCGAACCCCGGATTTTCACATTGTATGTTGATAAAGTTACCGTTGTCCCGCCGGAGGACTATCCGCATATATATTAAAACCGATGGTCCTGGCTTTAAAACTCAAATGATGAATAATGGAATTTAAATCATTGTAGATGTCTTGTAGTTTTCTTTTTGAAAATAGAGATATTCATATAAAATACCCGCGTTGTTAATACAGAAGGGCATAGTTATAAATAAGTATTGGTTATCTGTTGAGTCTAAGACATTGAATATAATAGACACAGGATGAGTGAAGAAACTAGTGTTGCTGGAATACAATAGACACAGACTGAGTCAAGAAACTAGCATTGAATGGTTAAAGTAGTCACTAACTTAGTCAACAAACTAGATAGCACCATCTAGGAGTAATTTTCAGTAATATTGTCTCAGTTGAGTCAAGAAAGCAAGAATGTTATTAGAAACAACATTGGTTTTACGACTCATTCATTGACTACCATAACCACTCAATGCTAGTTTCTTGTCTCATCCTGTGTCAGTTATATTCAGTCAACACTGATTTCTTAACTCAATCACTGACTATTATAACCATCCAATGCTAGTTTTCTTTTCTCATCCTTTGTCAATTATATCCAGTCAACACTGGTTTCTTGACTTAGCCAGTGACTATCGAAATTACACAATACTAGTTTTTTTGACTAGGTTAGTGAATATCAAACAGAAAACAAACAAACAAGCAAAACATTACTTGTCTGACTCATACAGGCATTATTATAACCAGAAAAAAGTATTTTTATAATCTAAATAATGAGTGTAATATCTATGGGATTTTGAATCCGTTTTAGTTCACCATATAGAAAAGAAATCTTAAACATGTATATAATGAATGTAATATTTAGAAAAAAAAACACCTTTTCGCATGGTACATGATATCTATTACATATATGGTTTCCCATTTTCTTGACTTATTCAGTAATTACCGTCTTTAGATAACATTGCTTTCATAACTCGCATAATATAAAAAAAAAAATCATACAATGCTAGAACTTAATTAATGACAATATCAGACAATATCACTTCCTAACAGCAACTATTTTGATCATTTGTTTATTTTCGTGCAAAGCTACACGAGGGTTATCTGCGCTAGCCGTCCCTAATTTAACAGTGTAAGACTAGAGGGAAGGCAGCTAGTCATCACCATCCACCGCCAAATCTTGGGCTGCTCTTTTACCAACAAGTAGTGGGATTGACCGTCATATTATAACGCCCTCACGGCTGAAAGGGCGAGCATGTTCGGTGTGACGGGGATTCGAACCCGCGACCCTCGGATTGCTAGTCGAGCGCCCTAACCACCTGGCCATGTCGGGCTCTATTTTGATCAAGAGAGTTCTTTAGTTATGATTATTATTTTTTTACCTTATGTACATTTTTGTTATCACTTTTAACTAATATTTCGTAATTTTTTGTTTTTCAATGATTGTAATAAAGGTCGTAACAAATAACTACTTTACAAGTTGCTCTAAAACAGATAAAAACCCTCAGTTTTTGGTTATCATCATTTTTTAATACTTAAGAAATACCGAGTTCGATTTGAACGACAATAATTGTCTTCTTACTCTGACAATTAATCCTTCCACATCTTCATCGTATTTAAGAGCAAAGTGGAGTTTGCCGCAGGGGGTTCCGAGGTCTAAGTCGTCTCCCAACTTACCCCCAAGCTCAGTGGAGGTTTCACTCAGTAGTTGTTCCCTCTTGTACAATTCAGGCTTGATTTCTCCAACAGATGGCATTTCACGGGGTGGCTTGTTACAAACTAAATAAATAAATATATACATTCATGTTGACTGTTTAACAAGAGAGGCAAACTTTTTGAAGTTATTTTTTATAAAAACAACAACAAAAAGGTATATTATTTTAGTAAGTAGTATGTATTTATTCTATGAGTTATTTTAGTATTTAATAATCTAGATGAAATAACAGGACAGAAATTATATACAAAACTTATTTTCACTGTTTTTCTTTTTTTTTAAAAAGGCCGCTATTTCATGCGGAATTGTTTGAATGTTTGCTGTTATTTTACATATTTACAAATTTCATATTGTGGTATATTATTAGAGATAGGCAATCAAACAATACATTTTTAACAACAAATTAAAATAAGCGTAAATTTTGCTTATTTCTTAGTTGATGGAGATCGTCTTTAAAACTTTCTGGAATAACTTTAGCATGTGAATAAAATCTTTGATAAAATAGGTCTAACTTTTTCCCTACAAATTCTACAGCAAATAAGAAGCATATGAAATGTTAAATGCAAAAATAACAGTCATTATGAAGGGTAATTTTTGTCTTCTAAAAAATGATATACTTTATTAATAGGATAAAATTACATAATCATAGTTCTTAAAAATAAAACATGCATGTAGGTATTAATAACTCATCATGATAAAGAAAAGACAGTCAGCTACCAGAACATGCAGCTACAACTTTCAGTACAAGGGCTTTGTCCGGTATTGAGACTAACGGTTGGATTGACTGTCACTCTCATAACGCACCCACAGCTGAGAGTGTGCAGCATATTTAGCCGTTTCGTTAAGGAAAGCTTGAGCCTTTCGACATGCCACTCGACACGCTAACCATTAGGCCACGACTAGTTGAACATACATATAAAGAAAGTTTACAGCGCCGCCAATGTTTGTGGAAACTTATGAAATATAAATTAGCATGTTAATACTAAGTATGTCAATAACAATAAAAAAATATCACGACAATTTTATAGCATGTGAATATTAAATACCTAAAATGATAGGAAACCGAACGTTTTTTCGAAAAAATATCCAAATCATAAAAGAGGAAGGAAAAGTTATTCATTTTAGGAACACAAAAACGAAAAGCTTCATATCCAAAAATTAACGAGAAAAAATGATAAAAGCCCATTAAGAGCAGAAAAGACTGTATTACATTCTCACCAAACGTGCACTGTAGTTGGAATGATAATACACTTAGAGGCATAGCTGAGTGCTAAATATATGTAGAAGGAGTACAAAGAACGAAAGCATTACGACACCACATTGTTATTATGTTATAGGGAAATATTCGTTTAGGAAACTTAATAAGAAATAGCCAAATCCTATTTATTTAATTAACAAGTTGTAAAACAATACCAATCTCCTAGGGAAACTAAGAAACTTCTAGATAATTAAAACAACAACAACAACAAAAACAAACAAAAAATAAAAATAGTTTGCGTAATCTTATTTATGTTATTTTCTAGGATCTTACCAATGGTTTGTGAGGACTGGCGTGACCTAATGACTAACATGACGAAATGTGAATCTGAAGATCTATTATTCTCATTCCGTTGTGTCAAAAATGTGTTCCTCACTTTTAAGGCTGTAAGTACGTTATAGTCTATCAATTCAAAATTAGGAATGCCCTCCGGGTGACAGCGGTAAGTCTATGAACTTACAGCGTTAAAATCCGGGGTTCGATTTTCCGCGGTGGACATACCAGGTAGCCCAATGTGACCTTTCTCTAGAAACGAGTTAGGAACAATTAGCTGAGACAGCCCTTGTGCAGTTTTGCGTGAATTTCCGATAGCTTGTTTTTATTAAACAGTGTCTTACGGTTCAGATATATTAATTCATAATTTGTAAATTTTTAACGAAAATAGAGAAGATAAAAAAAATGATTTATTGAACGCACAGATTCATACTCACTGTCGTTAAGAACACTCATTTTGTTAATAGTTATGTTTTCCTTTCATAAAGAGGATTTTCTTTAGAGGATTCTAATGCCGAAAGTCCTTGAAATTCTTTCTATTTAACGTCGCTTTTCATTTATAGAGTTTCTAAAGTTACTTAGAATAATCTAAGCATTTGCTTTAATGTTTGATGTTTATGGGCATTTCAATACGCCTTAAAAAGATGGAACGCTAATATAAAGAAAGTACTTCTGTATCTGAAAAAAATCCGAGAAACTCACTTTTCTTATTTATTAGTACTATTAAATATTTAACTCTATATCATTCCCGGTTTTATTTGTCCCCTTATTATAATACTGAAATAAATAATAAAAGCCGATTTTTCTATTTTTCCCTCATCCTTATGGCTCCCCAGTGTCACAGCGGTATGTCTGCGGACTTACAACGCTATAATCCGGGTTTCGATACCCGTTGTGGGCAGAGCACAGATAGCCCATTGTGTAGCTTTGTGCTAAACTTCAGACAAACAAACTCATCCTTATATGAAGCAGTTTCCTATATTTTACATTAATGAATACTTTTTTCATGGAAAAACAAATTCGATGCCCTGAAGATAAGAATCTCATCAATTGGTGTTTATAAGACTAAAAAAAGTATCTCTTATCTGCCCAAATTAACCTATTACGTATTCACTGGGGAATCATAATATAATGCGTTATTTTTACTTATGAGGTTTATTCTAAAACGATTTACTAGCATCTACCAAGTTAGTCTCGTTTTTCAGTGTCTTAGCTTGTATTAGCATATTTTATTATATGTTGCTATGACGCTTGGGTTGTTTAAACTTTCATCAGACACAATTTAATGTCCTAAGCATTTAACGGGTCTCGTTTGATTATCTTTCTGAAAATAAGGAAACGTTCTCTGTATTTTGTGTCACAGAGAAGCATTATTACTAACATATTGTGGAAACTAATTCAGCTGAAGTATATTCAAACAATTACTTACTTTCAAATGGAACATTGTAAATATCCAGTCGGTGAGAAAGTTGTCTCTGAAATGATAAATGACGAGTTGGAACAGTTGGTAAAGTGGTTTGACGTGGAGGAGCGATTTTCTTACAATGAACTTCTTTTGGAATTTCTTCTGTTATATGAGGCAAACTGTGGCTTATCTTCAACGATGGGGTGTTAATGGACTCTGATGACCGTGTATTTGGCATTAGGTTAGCACTATTGTCATTTGTAGAATGGTTTGGTTGAAGGATGGAGATTAACCAGCGATAGCTGAAATAAGTCATCACGCCTACAACTGCTGCAACTATAATTATGATAACAACAATAAGCTGGGGCACTGCAACATATTCAGTATCTAAAAAAAAAAGATTGAAGAAACTTATCATAATTGTTGCAATAACTACAATAACAATATGCAAATAGGTACAACAACGTTAATTTTGTAAGGTTTTAATCGATAGTTTTTGTTTTGGAAGAATGTACTAATATTTCGTAATGATATCTTCAAGAGCACTAACAATTTGGTAGCAAAGAGAAACTTATTTGAACTTTAGAAATGCTAAATGGTTGAAGAACTGAGAAAAAAGCATATATTATAAATAACTATTTCACTGCCTATCTATGACACACGGAGGTATGTGACCTATTATGTTCAACCTTATTTATAGAAGCTTGTAGCGAAAAGTTTAAACATAAATAAAAATAACGATATTTGAGCAAAAGAGTAGTAGATTTGATCCATTATTTACTAAGATAAAGAACATTAGTGTTGATTGGATAATTTGCTGTGATTAGTCAAACCCTGAAGTTCTCTCTGTATATATCATGTATATATACTAGACAATGAAATGTGCCCCCCACTTAAGCAATGAATTAAATTAAGCCAACAAAAAACGCCATGTCAGACTCTAAATAATAAACATATGCAACGGCTATACGAGTAGTGTGTTTATCACTACTCGCAGTGGTAAACAAATTCTTTAAACCTAATCTGTCTGGAATTATTTTGTCAGGGATGACTAGGTAAGTTGTGAGATATTGTTTTATATTGCTTACCCTGACATGCTATTACGACTGAAACACCAGAGAAACCCGAAGGATGTATTGATTGTATGGGAGTTTGATACATGATGAACGAACGAAAACAACAACAAGAAACAGTAAAGTGAAAGTATAGTACCAGAGTGAGAAAGATATAATAAGTTTTGAAGTGTATGATATAACAAATTAAGACATGCCGAGTGCATTGTAAATACATTGTTTCATATATTTTATTATAAATTACTATGATATGTATACATATATATGCTGAATATAATAGCATCAATTTTGATCTGATTTCTTCTTTTATTGTAGAATAATAAGCTAAATATAGTGATAACCGTAGTGAATGTGATGGTGCAAATTCGTATCCTTATAACTACAGTAATTTCTGAGAAGCGATTTACACGTTTATAGAGTTCTGAAACGTTTATTTTCGATCATTAAAACTACTGTAGTTATTCATATAGGTTATGAAACATTCGTGCCCTTCATTGAAAATTACTGTAAAGTTCAGAAAATTATTCGAAATTCAATTTTAAGTTAGTTGAATGTGTTAGAGAAGACGAACGAAATTCATTTGTTTCATAAACGTCTTAAAGAAATTATAAGGCAGTTGTAAAAAAAAGAGTAGGGTTCTTGATCAGTCACAAATGGAACTTATAGCATAGAATATTCATAAGGAATGCTACACATACATAAACATATATACGTTATTAAAGTGAAAGAATAGAAATACAAAACTGTATACGTTGAAATTCAAATTGTGTTTGGTTGTAAACAAAGGAAAACACGAAGTAGGATATATACGGATCAAGTAGCATATGTATAGGTACAAGCTTCATTTATTATTTATTTTAGCTTTGGGTTCTATTTTTGTTCGGACTTGAAATATTACAAGCCTTCGTGTAATCCTGATTTTAAGCTGCACAAACACGTCATGGAAAGCCATCTAAGAAAGAATAACCGGAGTTTCGGAATATCACCGGTAGTAAATTAAAATTTATTATAAGTTTCGTATTTTTCAAAAATTATTTTTTTTATCAATATAAACAGGTAATTGTGAGGACTGGTTATTGGCAGATATTAAGTTATGACAAAGTTTGCATCTTCCTTCAACTTTAACACGTTTTTAATGCGTTGTCAGTAAAGCTCATATTTTCCAAGTTAATACAACCTATTTTAGTTTTCTCTCTTGAATATAGTAGTTGAACTTAATATACATACGGGATTTCCAGGATTCCTTGACAGCTCGTATTTCGTATCAAAATAAAAAATAAATGAAGTTCATAAAATGATGAAAGAAACGAGTTTCCTTATAAAGGCCAAAACCAAATATTCGAACAAACAAAGCCTTTCCTCTGATTATTAACATGCTGTAAAAGAAAAGTGTAGTATTATGAAAATGTACTCACTTCAAAAATTCTGAAATACTTTGACTGCAGGACACCATGTACTTCCCAAAGTTTCATTAACGGACACAAAACTTTTAAAACTTTCAGAAGGCAAACAAAGCTGCTGTAAATATATTAAGTTTGTCTATACAATCAATTTACAGCGTGAATACCAAAGTCTTTAAAAGAAAGTAGAATTTGCGTCTAATTCAAACAGGCAACGTCATCAACGATTTTTAAATACGACATAAGAACCTCCTTTTTCATAGCCGTCCATTTTCAAATCACGTGTAAAACTAGCTCCACTTGTACGCGGTGCTGATAATCGTACTGCTACGTTACAACCAGAAAGAGTGCGTGACTTTACGCGTTTTAATGCAGAACTCTTTCATTGTTCGTTCGGAAGTAATAGTAACTTATTAATCTACTTTATATTCAGACTGCCTACATATTTTCAGAAACTAGATTAAAAAACATAAAACTCTCTGAGTGTATTTGATTAATACAGCTTCAGTATACATTAAGTTTCCCATAAAAACGTTTTACGAAAATACTTATAACAAGATCGTTAAAATAAATAATACATTTTATGTGTAAACATTGATGTATTAAACCTGGATGATTATTATTGTGATATTTCTCTTTGAATGGTTATTCAAAATTAGCGACTCTTTTCACCACATTGTGGATGTTCGAAAGTAAATTAAAAATAAACCCATGTAAACATTCTGCTGAACTTTCAACGATTGTACCAAAATTTGAAACGGTGGGTTTATTTTTCTGTTTGTAAGTAATTTCCGCTCATTATGAGATAATCTAGCTCTTTTGCTAGAGGATTACTATGACGTCCTACTTATATACCTAAGGGCTTTGCTTTCAATTTTTTTTCCAGTAATATCTATTGGTAAAGTTCTCAGCAAATATAGAGCGCTTCCAGTTCGTATAGCCAAAAGATGAAGACAACATAATGTATTTGGACAAATGTTTTGACGTATTTATCAAGCTTTATTGATTGACATAAGTGTGTTTGATTGCTTGACTCCACAGAAACGTAATGCGAATTTTTCGTAGACTAAGGAAATGTCGCCTGGCATCAACTGAAAATAGGTTTATTTCTCCATTGATGCTGATATAAGTACGACGACAATTAAGCGGCAATTTTTAGCATTGGTATAGTTTACTAGTAAGTTTCCATTATTACACCAAAATGCTTTTCTATGAAAATATATCATAGATTATTTTGAAAATGCATGGTACAAATTCTTGTTAATTTGCTTATATTTAAATTTTCGCCTTCGACAACTTCAGGTACATTCGTGGTTTTAATCATTCATAAGTTATTTCAGCAACGAAATAAATCTTGTAGTTTATGGGATCCATGTTAGAATAACATGTAGTCTTATAAAATGTTTCACCAAATTTAATAATCACCAAAATTTGATTTAAAACTTTCATTGCTTATACAGCAACATGCAGTTTAATCGATATTACGGGTCTCTCGGTGGATTGTTCGTTTGTTTGTAATTAAGCACAAAGCTGCACAATGGGCTATCTCAGCTCTGCCCACCACGGGTATCGAATTCCGGTTTTTAGCGTTGTAAGTCTGCAGACATACTGCTGTGCCACTGGGGGGGGGGGCTCTCGGTGGAACATCGGTAAGTTTACGGATTTACAACGCTAAAATCCGGGGTTCGATTCCCCGCGGTTAACACAGCAGATAGCCCAATGTGGTTTTGTTCTAAAAAACAAACAAGTAATCGATATTCTTAGTATAAACGCTAAAAGATAACCTTATTATCTATACTAATGTTTCACAAAAATGATTTGCCTGAGGCATATCCCGGTTTCTAAGAGATTTTATAATATAATTATCAGGAAGTCGAGTCGTAAAAATGTAATATTCTTGATGGTATAGAGCACGCGATGTTGAAAAATTCTTAAAACATTTTTTTAACGAAAAACTTTGAATACCAGGTTTTAGAAGTAAAGTCAATTCAGTATGTCCTCGAACTTAAGAAATATCGAATTTTCTCTGTAAAATACACATAAGATCCTATCGGGATATTTTCCAAATAATTGTTTGGATAAATTCTTACTAAATTCTTTTGCAAAATTATTGTTCATAATTTCTAAACATAAATAAAACTCGAATACTACAGAATAACATACACATTAATGAAAAAAGTTTGTAGCATTAATTAACCAAACAAACATGCTCGCCCTTTCAGCCGTGGGGGCGTTATAACTATTCCACTATTCGTTGGTAAAAGAGTAGCCCAATAGTTGGCGGTGGGTGGTGATGACAAGCTGCCTTCCCTCTAGTCTTACACTGCTAAGTTAGGGACGGCGGACGGCTAGCGCAGATAACCCTCGTGTAGCTTTGCGTGAAATTCAAAAAACAAACTAACAATATATAATTAATCCCAAAATGCGTGATTTTTAAACGTCGTGGTTATGGTTTACTAGTTAATTTCTTTGTTCGTGGAATAATGATCTAAAGAAAATGATGCTCTTGTTAAGCAAATCTTGAAAGGTGAACTGTTTTATAAATAAATAATACAAAACGATCATTGAGGCCTGTAACAGCTAACGTTTATTTGTATTTATTGTTTAGTTAAACACAAAGATGATCATTGACTTCAAGAAAATTCTGTGCGTAGACGGGGTTTTATGGTTCTAACTCATATTTTTTCCTTTCTTGTAAACCCAAGTGAACCCCTCTGTGCAGACAAAGAATTACTTGGTCGAATAACAAACTAGATTGAAGGAGTATAGGATACTATTCCTGGTTCGTATTAGACTTTCAGAAAGACAAAAGAATCTTCATAGTTTCTTTGACCATAAAAATCCAGATGGTTATTTTTGTCAACACGTCTCACTTGGTCTTTCCAAATACGTGCGTTGTAATTGAATCAGAGAC